CCAAATTTATCACACCAAGGTTAATGTAGTAGGCCATATAGGATGTTGGAGGAAAAAACATAAAACTCAGCACTTTCTTATGCAAATACATGTTGTATTATATTTGTATATGCAAGTTCCTTAAGAGGAAGGAAATTTTCCATTTACTAAGTTGGAAACTCAGCTTGAAGTAGAAAGGTCTTTTGATCAAACTCTGGTTAAAGCATTTGAGGCAATTTCTGTATAGAATGAAACTCTTTCTTTATAATTTCTATTGATTTTCACATAATACAAACACAGGTGTTTGGATAAAATTGTTCTTGAAAGCAAATGATTGGTTGCACAAGATCAGCAGGATCACTTTCGATATCATTATTGTTTTAAAGCTAAATCGGAACCGGCTATTATATGTGGCGGGGAGTGTTTCAATTTCCTCTTTTCATAATAAATTACTTGCAGCCTGCTATTGTGAGTGCAGCGTGAATCTGGTATATATTTTTATGCTCTGAGTACAATTTTAGGAATAAAGAACTCTGTAGAAGGCGATGCAAAACTTTAAATGCATTTGTGTCCATTGGGCCTGAACCTTAATGGGATGTATTCAGATTATCAGAAGACACAGATGGGTAATATATGGCAAAAAGTAGTTTGTGTAATGAAGAGCAATGTAATGGAAGTCCAACTCCCCTTTTATCCATACAGCATGGCATGGAGCTCCCCTTTCATCCACACAGCATGGCATGGAGCTCCCCTTTCATCCGCACAGCATGGCATGGAGCTCCCCTTTCATCCACACAGCATGGCATGGAGATCCCCTTTCATCCACACAGCATGGCATGGAGATCCCCTTTCATCCGCACAGCATGGCATGGAGCTCCCCTTTCATCCGCACAGCATGGCATGGAGCTCCCCTTTCATCCACACAGCATGGCATGGAGATCCCCTTTCATCCACACAGCATGGCATGGAGATCCCCTTTCATCCACACAGCATGGCATGGAGATCCCCTTTCATCCACACAGCATGGCATGGAGATCCCCTTTTTATCCACACAATATATGGAACTCTCCTATACTATGGTGGCTCCTTAGATAACTGGTCAGTAAAAAGAGCCACCACAGAAGCAGATGTAGAAGTAAAGCCTTGTACGCAAAATGAGAATATCAGATGAATGATCCAGGTTATTTTTTTTTTTTTTTTTTTTTTTTTTTTTTGGATGCTAGCCTCATATAGAAAAAGACAGAATACAACTTCCCTCAATGATGTAATGTATTGTATTCATTTCCCAGCATGTGTGGTCTTGGTCACTTGATTTTTTACGGACAAGTACTGTACTGACTAAACGGAAATCGTTGGATCTGTTATCGCACGAGAAAAATGTTTGTGCTTGTCCCTTGGAGTAATTTGCATGTCATCGGCTTTTGAAAGCTGTGTACTAATGATCAGATTATTGGATGATTGCTTTGAAAACATTTTTTCATCTGATTGTCTCATCATATGTACTAGGCTGTACACTCTAGGTCAGGGGTCTGCAACCTTTAAGACATAAAGAGCCACTTGGACCCGTTTCCGAGAGGGAAAAAAAGACTGGGAGCCGCAAAACCATTGCAACATTTAAAACAAATCCGACACTGCATATATTGCAAAAAGCGCTCTGGTCATGAAGGGGGTTTAAGGGCCCAGTAAGCAAAGGGTTAATCAGGGCCACAGTGTATCGTCATAATCACAATCATAGCCTTAGGTCAGTGGTGGGCAACCTTTTTTTTCAACTGAGCCAAATCTCGCCAAAACCACAATTGAAATTTATTTTGAGAGCCACATTTTTAAAACTGAAAATACATCCCCCATATAGTAATTCATCCCCCATATAGTAATTCATCCCCCCATATAGTAATTCATCCCCCATATTAAGTCCCCAAGTCCCCCGTGTCAATTCACTTACCTTTGCTCCGCGCGTTCCTCTCGCCGTGTTCCCGCGCCGTTCCAGTGTAGCATGAAAATCTGTCTCCTATGAGGATCTGTCCCCCTCGACGTATCTGCGCATGTGCCAGTTTCAGGCATTCGCAGCCGATCGGCGATTTCCAGCACATGCGCAGATACGTCGAGGGGAACAGATCCTCATAGAAGACAGATTTTCATGCTACACCGGTCTTCAGGGCGGACTGTGAGAGGAGCCTAGCGGGAGCCTAGCTCCGCGGGCCGGATTAAAAGGTCCGCCGGGCCGTAGTTTGCCCATTGCCTGTCACCTGGTGGGCAGTGTGCTCCGGAGCCGCAGCCAAGGTGAAAAAGAGCCGCATGCGGCTCTGGAGCCGCGGGTTGCCGACACCCGCTCTAGGTTTACAGGGCTAAAAGGAAGATGCTAAGAGAGAAACTAAGATGGAGACCTGGCACCTTGAAAGTAGTTCTCTGTAATATATAATCTCTTGCAACGGGTTCAAAAACACTTTAATACCTGGTTGTGTCTCTGTAGGTAATTTTTCTTTACTTTGCGTCTTAGTAACAATACTGTCACCAGGGCAGTTTCACAACAAATCATGCTGCCTACTATTTAGAGGTAACCTGTCAGGATACAAAGCTGTGTGTTTTTATTTATTTTATTTTTTTTGGGGGGTACAAGCTGTCATACTCATTTATTACAAACTGATCCATTGACCTCGATCAAGTATGCAACATGCCAATTTAGAACTCCAGGCCTCCATGCTTGTTCCAGGTAGGTCAATGGGGTAGGCAAGCAAGGGTAAGGATAACGGCTCTGCAGTTTGCACCTTCCAAAAGAACTTCGCTTGGCAAACTACCACATTTTGGTTGTGACACGTTCCTCTAAAAGCCACATAAAGCTGCTAATTCTTTGTACTGCTGGACACTACACGTTTATTAAAAGTGACCGCACCTATACTGTGTTTAGCATTCTATTGTAATATTATTCCAGGCTCCGTTAGTAGAGCAGTGTTCATTCAGTTACCGAGCTGCTGCATACACGAGCACTTTTTTCTTGGAAATAGTCTTGCATTTAATACATAAATACCAGTGACTTTTTAATTTTATTTGGGATGTATTTCTATAATATGCATAGCAGTGTTATAGATTTACCTGCAAGCTACAATAAAGTGCAGGCAGACAGTGTTTGGGGTGCGTGCAGACATGCTGCCAGTGTTTCCTCCCAGGCGTAGTCTCTTGTAATATATGAGAGTATGAACTGCATAGTAAGCAAGTGCAGAAGCTGTTTTTGTTGACCATAATTCTTCTAAGTGGACTGAAGAGGATTAATAATTAAAGAATAAAAGCTCAGTAATGGTTGCTGGTTAAGCACATTTTGCAAAGTGGGGACTCCTACCTATATTTATATAATAAAACTGTCCTGTTTTTTTTACACCTTAGACTTGTTTTAGATTTCCCTATCTGTCCAGCATGCCTATGTTATGTCTCTTAGAGCTGTTTGGTGAAGTGTAATTGCCGGCATTGCATATAGATTTCTTTTCATGATTTGAGTGTTCCAGGAAAAAGAGTGTGCATGTTTGACTTTTGACAGCCAGGTAACTAACATTTTCAGAATGAGGTTGGCATTTCTCTCATGACCATAAGGGGTATTTTTTCTTCACCCATTCAGAAAATTCCTACCTGCAGTCTCAATCATTTAAAAATGGTTACCTAATGCTACAAGATACACATTTTCATATTACACATTGTAACTCCCCAGGGTTAGACTTTTTTTTTCCCCTGTGTTGGTGGGCAAGCAGCAGTGGATTACTTTTTCATTCCTTGAAAGCAGGGGTCTCCAAACATAAAGGGACACTTTACTGTACCTCAGGCTTTAGTGGGGGACCAGACTGTGGAGAGTGGTACCTGAAATTGCCCTGACATTAGTGGTAGTAAACAGTGCCTCATCTTTGGTATTAAGGGAGGGAGGGGTAATAGAGCACTATTGTTGATGTCATTGGGAGGAATAGTGTCCTGAGGGCCACATACAGGCAAGAAAAGGGCCGCATCCGACCCCTGGGCCACAGTTTGAAGATCACTGCTTTCAAGTCTAGCAGCACAAACATTGGTAATCCTAGTATGATCACCTGCACACTTGACTCAACAGTAAATCATTATTGCTGTGTGTATTTCTAGCTATAGAACACATAGTGCTGTACCCATGACAAACAGATTTATGGTGCACATTTCATATTGTATCTTAATATAGCTGCATTTTGTAATCATTTACAATGTGATCATTCTAGTACCTAAACATTTTAAAACATGTTTTTTTACTCCCCTTTCATCCACACATGGCATGGAGCTCCAATTTAATCCGTACAACGTGGTATGGAACTCCCCTTTCATCCAAAAGTGGAATGGAGCTCCCCTTTCATCCACACACCATGGTATGGGAGCTCCCCTTTCATCCAAAAGTGGAATGGAGCTCCCCTTTCATCCACACACCATGGTATGGGAGCTCCCCTTTCATCCAAAAGTGGAATGGAGCTCCCCTTTTATCCACACACCATGGTATGGGAGCTCCCCTTTTTCAGGCACACACCATGGCATGGGAGCTCCCCTTTCAGGCACACACCATGGCATGGGAGCTCCCCTTTCAGGCACACACCATGGCATGGGAGCTCCCCTTTCAGGCACACACCATGGCATGGGAGCTCCCCTTTCAGGCACACACCATGGCATGGGAGCTCCCCTTTCAGGCACACACCATGGCATGGGAGCTCCCCTTTCATCCACACAACATGGCATGGGAGCTCCCCTTTCATCCACACAACATGGCATGGGAGCTCCCCTTTCATCCACACAACATGGCATGGGAGCTCCCCTTTCATCCACACAACATGGCATGGGAGCTCCCCTTTCATCCACACAACATGGTACCAACATGATCTAGAACTTTAAATCTTACACTGCTTTTAGTGGAATACAAAGTGTGATGAAACGTCACTTTGTTTACTATAAATGTTTAAGTTTATGATTCTAAATGTAATTCGGATCCTGAGTAAAATTGATGTCCTCTCTTTTAGGTGGACAGATCTGATATGAATACACTCAGCTTGCCTCTAAATATCAGACGAGGAGGATCAGATACCAACCTTAACTTTGACATACCTGATGGCATCTTGGACTTTCACAAAGTCAAACTCTCTGCTGATAGCCTAAAGCAAAAAATCCTTAAAGTCACTGAACAGATTAAAATTGAACAAACGGCCCGTGACGGCAATGTGGCAGAGTACTTGAAACTGGTGAACAGTGCTGATAAGCAACAGGCGAGTCGAATTAAACAAGTATTTGAGAAAAAGAACCAGAAATCGGCTCACACAATAGCACAGCTGCAGAAAAAACTGGAGCAGTATCATAAAAAGTTAAAGGACATAGAGCAAAATGGCTCTACAACTAAAAGTACAAAAGACCTTTCCAAAGAAAATCTTAAAGATTTGCATCATTCTTTAAAGGATGTGAATAGTAGTTCTAGGCCTACTGTTCCAGCAGAACAAAGTAAAATGGGAGTACCGGGAGTTTCTTTGACTCCACCAATGTTTGTCTTCAACAAATCTCGGGAGTTTGCAAATCTTATTCGTAATAAATTTGGAAGTGCTGATAACATTGCTCATCTAAAGAACACACTTGATGACTTTCACCCAGAGAACAATGCCAGGAACCTAAGTGGGAGTGCCACAATTGTCACTAAGCCCAAGTATGTAAGTGATGACGAGTGCTCTAGCGGGACGTCTGGCTCAGCTGATAGTAATGGAAACCAGGCATTTGATGGCGGACGGACAAATACTAATGATAGCCAAGGGGATCTTGCTGTATTTCTAGAAGAGCTGAGAGAAATACGAGAGGCTCAGAATCAGCTGGCTGAAGACATTGAGGCACTCAAAGTACAGTTCAAAAGAGACTATGGATTTATTTCGCAGACATTACAAGAAGAAAGATACAGGTAACTAACAATTATATTTAAATTATGTCAAACTGAAACATCTAGTTTATCAAGATTTATTAAATTTTTCCTAGCTGCTAAATTATGCTTGTTTGACTTAAAGGAATACGCAAATGGTTTGTGTCAAGTTTGTTTTTAAACAAATTATACACGCACGCGCGCACACACAGACACTAAAAATAAGTATTGAACACATCACCTTTTTTCTAGGTAAATATATTTCTAAAGGTGCTATTGGCATGACATTTTTACCACATGTTCGTAACAACCCCTGCGATCCATTATATAGAAAAAAAACAAAAATCTGTTTAGAAATTTAAGTTGTGTAATAAAATGGAATGACACAGGGAAAAAGTATTAAACACATAAAGAAAGGGAGGTGCAAAAAAGGCATGGGAAGCCAAGACACAAGTTGAAATCTACCAACAATTAGAAAGCAATCTTGCCCCTTGTCAGTGCAAATTAATATCAGCAGGTTCACGGTCAACTGATTTTACTAAGGTGTCACACAAAATCTCATGATGGGTAAAAGCAAAGAGCTTTCTCAAGACCTTCGCAACCTTACTGTTGCAAAACACACAGATTACATGCATTGGTTATAGAAGGACTTCTAGACTTCTGAAAGTTACAGTAAGCACTGTTGGAGCCATAATCTGGAAGTGGAAAGAACATCTGTTTCACCATAAACCAGCCAGGACCAGGTGCTCCTCGCAAGATTTCTGGAGAAGTGAAACGAATTACCAGAAGAGTTGTCCAAGAGTTCTTAGATTGTAAGCTCCAAGGAGCAGGACCCTCCTAACCCTCTTGTATTGAACTGTATTGTTGCTGTATTGTCTCCCGTCATATTGTAAAGTGCTGAGCAAACTGTTGGCACTAAATCCTGTATAAAAAGAGCCAAGGACCACTTGTGAAGAGCTTCAGAAAGACCTGGATTTGCCAGGTACATTTGTTTCAAAGAAAACAAGTAATGCACTCAACTGCCTTGGCCTGTATGCATGCTCACTGCATGCTCACTGCACATGCTCACTGCACAAGACTCCATTGCTGAAGAAAAAGCTTGTTGAAGCTCGTTTAAGTGTTTGCTTGACTGCACAATTGTCATTCCAAATGTGACAGCGCTGAAAATTGGCTTGGGCACGAAGGGGGGTAAAAGTGCCTGGTAAGCAAGTGGTTAAAGTTTACTTCACAACATATAGACAAGCCTGTTAAATACTGGGAGTATATAGTCTGGTCATATGAGACCAAAATTGAACTCTTTTGATGCCATAAACACCATGTTTAGAGGTCAAATGGCACTGCACATCACCCCAAAAACCATCCAACAATAAAGCTTTGGTGGGAACATCATGGTTTGGGGCTCTTTTTCAGCATACAGTACTGGCAAACTTCATAATGAAGGAAGAATGAATGGGAAAAAGGTACCTAGAGACTCTTGATAAAAAAAATCTTCTGCCATCTACCAGGATGATGATGAAACGAGGATGGAAATTTTAGCAAGACAATGATCCCAAACACAAAGATAAGGAAACTCAAATTGGTTTCAAAGAGAAAGTATAGCTACTAGAATGGCCCAGCCAATCACCTGATTTGAATCCAATAGAAAATCTATGGAAAGAACTAAAGATCAGAGTTCGAGGCCCACGGAACCTTCAAGATTTGAAGACTGTGTGGAATAATGGGCCAAAATTGTACCTGAACAATGATTGCAACTAGTTTCTGCATACAGATATCTTGAGCTGTAATTACCAACAAAGGATCTGGTACGAAGTATTAAATACATTTCAGTTAGCGGATTGAATACTTTTTTCCCTGTCATTCCATTTTATTGCGCATAACTTAATTTATGAACGTATTTGTTTTGGTTTCTTTGCATGTATGGATTGCATGGGTTGTTACCGACGTGGTGAAAATGTTATGTCAATAGCACCTTTAGAAATATATTTACCTAGAAAAGTGTGTGTGTGTGTGGTTTTTTTTAGGTATTTACCAAAACATATTCAAGCTATAGTTATAATAGATATGGGCTGAAAGTGCGCACTCTCAATTTAATTTGAGGTTATGTACATTCACATTGGAGGAAGGGTTTAAGAATTACAGCTGTTAAGCGTAGCCATCTCCCCTTTTTCAAGGGACCAAAAGTAATTGGAAAATTGAATATAATCATAAAATGTTTTTAATATTTTGTTGAGAATCCTTTACTGGCAATGATTGCCTGAAGTCTGGAACCCATGGACATTACCAAAGACTGATTCAAAGAGAACCTTCAAGTGATTCATTAGCGCAAAAAAAAAAAACTAGCGCAAGTCACTTCCGGTCGCCGCACAGCCTCGCCCCTAAAGCAGTAACCGGTGGCGCAGCTCTAGTGTACTGGAGTTATGAGCCAGGGGAAGATCAAAGCCCAGGTTCAAGACCAAGGAACGATGGCACAAACAAAAAAAAAAGTAATGTCTGCAATTAAGGATATATACATCATCTAGAGCAAAATAAAGCAAAGTGCTGTACAATTAACAACAATAATATACATCTAGGGCGAGGCTGTGTGGCAACTGGAAGTGACGTTCAGGATCGGAACCGACGTGGGAGTGCCATTGTTTGGGATCTGACAGTGGTGAGAGCACTGCTTGATACCCGCCAGTGTATAACCGCATACTGCAGTATCCATAGGCGTTGTATTTGCCAAATTTTTGTAAGTGGCTGCCTACTTTTTAGCAATTTAAAGGTGTATTTTGTACTGCACCATTGGGGTATTTTTCTTTGTTTTATGACCATAAACCCTGAGAGAGCAGATAGAGGAGATTGAGATTATCTATATGGGTATAGCTCCTCTTTATTAGGAATCTGTTTATCAAATCTCCATGCCTCTCCTTCCCATGATCAGCTCACACCATAGATTAACAGAGAGGAGTGAAACAATATCGATACTGGCCGACGTCCTTATCTGGATTAATATAATAAGCAATTCCAGCCAACCATGAGAATGGGGGTCGTAGTTATTCGGTGAGTGCATACCCAAAAGGGGGAATGCCTGCTTTATAAGCACGTGGTGATTTCTTTTTGGGAATTAGAAGAATTGTTTGGTGGAAGGGACATTTATGGACTTTAAATTTTCACTTCTGTTGATTAATCACTTATTTATATGTATATATTTTTATATATTTTTTTTGCTCTGCTGAAGCACTTGAGGGTTCTCTTTGAATTGGTTTTAATTGATACTGTTTGACGTGGCAGCATTGTTTTTTGGAATTTATATTTAATTCATATATTTTTTATCATTTGATTTTTATTGGCTATCACGCATCTAGCGCAAAAGTCTTTTGCTTTCATAATTACCAAACACTGGGTTTCCTCCTTTCTGATACTTTGCCAGGTACTAACTGCAGCTGTTGTCAGTTATTTGTGGGACTTTCTGCCTTTAGTTTTGCCTTCAGCAAGTGTAATGCATGCTCAGTTGGGTTGAGATCATGTGATTTGACTCGCCCATTGCAGAATATTCCACTTCTTTTCCTTCAAATGCTCCTGGGTTCCTTTTGCAGTGTGTTTTGGATCATTGTCCATTTGTACTGTGAAGCGCCGTCCAATCAACTTTGCTGCATTTGGCTGAATCTGAGCTCACAGTATAGCTCTAAACACTGCAGAATTCATCATCCAGCTGCTTCTGTCATATCATCAATAAACACCAATGACCCAGTGCCACTGGAAGCCATGCATGTCCATGCCATCACACTGCCTCCACCATGTTTTTTTTACAGATGACTTTGTGTGCTTTGGATCATGAGCTGTTTCAAGCTTTCTCCACACTTTTTTTTTTTTTTTTTTTTTTTTTTTTTCTTCCTGTCATTCTGGTACAGATTAATGTTAGTTTCATCCATCCAAAGAATGCTTTGCCAAAAAAAACATCTAAAAAAGCCAGATCAGTTCTGGAAAAGTCTAATCTGGCATTTTATTCTTCTTCATGGATTGCCTTGTGGTAAACCCTCTGTTTTTTGCTCTTGTGAAGTCTTCTTTTGATTGTAGACTTTGACAATGATATGCCCACCGACTGGAGAGTGTCCTTCACTTGTTTGGATGTTGTGAATGGGTTTTTCTTTACCATAGAGAGGACCCTGCGATCATCCACCACTGTTGTCTTCCTTGGACCTCCTTGCCTTTTTTATGTTGCTGAGCTCACCAGTGCGTCGTTCTTTTGCTCAGAATGTACCAAACTGTTGATTTGGCCACTCCTAATGTTGCTGCTATCTCTCTGATGGATTTGTTTCATTTTTGAAGCCTTACAATGACCTGTTTCACTTGCATGGACAGCTCTTTAGAGCGCATGATGTATGTTCAGAGTAGTAGATTTCTAATACAAATACCACACCAAGAATCAACTCCAGACCTTTTACCTGTTTAATTGATGAAGAAATAACGAATGAGTAGCCCATACCTGGCCATGAAACAGCTTTTGATTCCATTGTCTGATTACTTTTGGTCCCTTGAAAAAGGGGGGATGGCTACTCATAAGAGCTGTAATTCTTAAACCCTTCCTCCAATTTGGATGTACATACTCTCAAATTAAACTTGTGTGCACTTTCAGCCCTTATCTATTTTATAACTATAGCTTGAATATGTTTTGGTAAATACCTGAAAAAAAACTAAAATTGTGCCTGTATCCAAATATATATGGACCTGGCTATATATTTTGGATATAAAACGTCTACACACCCTATTAAAATGTTGGGTTTGTGTGATGTAAAAAAAAAGACAAAGATAAATAACTTCAAAACTTCCAAAATTGATGAAAAGATGAGACGAAAACTGGTCTGGGAGGCTGCCAAGAGGCCTACAGCAACATTTAAAGGAGCTGCAGGAATATCTGGCAAGTACTGGCTGTGTGGTACATGTGACAACAATCTCCTGTATTCTTCATATGTCTGAGCTATGGGGTAGAGTGGCAAGATGGAAGCCTTTTGTTACGAAGAAAAACATCCAAGCCTGGCTAAATTTTGCAAAAAACACATCTG